GCTACGTCCAGATGAACAGAATCAACTATTTGGGATTTACTTACCTGGATGATTGAGCATGCATCAAGACTGCTCAGCTGTGTCTCATTTTCCATTAGCCCTCAATGTCTGTGTTTACGCCTCGCTTTTCCTTTGGCCTTTGTTGCACTGTACTGTAGTCTTCTGTTGCTTTTCCAGCCTTTGTTTGTAATCGTACTTGTGGATGGCTTTGCTTTGGCATTTTCATGGACTTTGTGTTTTTAGACGTCTTCATCGCATTGAATAAAGGTTTGTTCTTACTCTTCTTTGATATCTGTCAGCTTAAACAAGCAATAGCTTTTCAATGTTCACGTGCGAATAAAATATGGGTTTGTGAAATTTTTGAACCATTACATTCTGTTTTTATAAAGCATCACATTTAGAGTAGAAACAGCAAAGTTAAGCTCTTTTATGCTTGTGAAAGAGTTTATAAGTGTTTCAATCTGCAGCAGCACAGATGGGAAAGACAGTAAAATATAAGTAAAAGCAAAACCAGAAGCCCAGTGTGGGTGTGCGTACTCAACTGCGTAACTCAAAACTCCCAAGTTGCCTGATTGCGTCAAAAACTGCTTCTACTGGACGTGACCTCAATTTTAAACCAAGTAGGGGAAAAAAGACTCTTCTGCCTCTTTTTCTATTCATGTGGCTAAAACAAGATTTTTTCCTTCCCCTGCAGGCATGTTTTATTTTACTCACAGTTTCCATGGTTTTCTAAACACACGTATTCATAGGCTTTTCTTTCTTTAGATTTCTGTTTTTCATCTATTTATTTTCTGTGCATGAACATAGTGCATGTTTGGATGTGTATTGTTTTTTTTTTTTATAAAGATGATACTGCCCTGTCAGTCAAGCCCAGAGGAAAAACGCAGTTTACCTTCAGTTTAAAATCAACACAAGTGAACTGATGGAAAACGCTGCACCCTAATGAGTCACCAGATTTGCATTTCTCCTGCATATTTCCACACATTGCCCTGGATCTTTATTTCATTTGCATTTTGGTCATGTTCAGTGAGGTATATGCGATGCTGTTTGGAACTAAACAGCTAAAAAACTAAATCAAAGATCTCAAGAGGAAGAAAAAGTGAGAAACTACAAAATAGGCGCCCACTTATGTTAATGCATTTCTAACCACGCTGGTTCGGTTGTTATTACACTGCTGCATTACAAGTGGGAGGATTTAAGTTATGTATTTTCACACATTAACATTATTTCTCGGAAAGCTTCATGTTTTAAACATACTAAACGAACGAATCTCTGGTTCAGTTTCATGATGAGGTTTTACACTGAGGTAATATTTAGATTGTCAGATCTATCCAATACATTTGTCAAAGTATAATAAACCAAACGGCAGCCTCTGGCTTTGTTCGTTTGTTTTTCCCCAAAGCCTTTTAGTGAGCACAGACAACTGAGAAACTGATGTCAGCTTGTAGTCAGTTTTAGTCAGCTGTTGGTCACTCTTAATCCTTTTATTTTGTTAATCTTATTCATTGCATTATTATTGTCTATTTTACTCATGTTTTAATATTTAATATATATACTGATTTATTT